TGAAAACGTTGCTTTAGAAACACCCTGTATACTCGATCCCATCGTCGGTTCACGTCTGCACGCGTTAAACCGCTCACTGCTCGACATTTAACGTCGAGAGGACGTCACGCAAAGAGAACTGAGCTTCTGGAGGCTTGTGTGGAAATTAACGCGTCACGACTTCATCGGGTTTGATAGGATGTACCTAAAGCCTGCAACGACGGCCGTCGGCCAGAGTTAAAGCTCGTCTACAAACACCATTCACGGTTAACGACGTGTCAGATCAAGCGCAAAACTCTGTCTTCAACTTTCATTACGAACTGCATGAACCATTTTAAATGGAACACTAAACGGTGAAACGGTGGAATAATTTTATGACTTATATTGGATAGCTCTTTGTTAAGGAGTAATCTTCTTTAATTGTAGCAGCAATTTACTGATTGCATTATTATACTCGTTTATATTTTGTTGTGTTTATATTATGTAGTAGATTTTGAGATGGAACTCTCAAATGGTTTTGTTCATTTTCAAATTCACGAATTTCCAAAATCACAGTATTTCAAACTTTCAACTTTCCAAATGTCCCAAATTCTTAAAATTCTAAGTTACTGTATTTTCGTATATTCAAATTCTTATAACTCCAAATTTTCAAAAGTTCAACTAATTCTTAAATTCTCAAATTTCCAAGTGTTCAAATATTCAAATTTTTAAATTTCCAAATGATACCAAATTAACAAATTTCGAAAGACTCAAATTACGAATTTCCTGAATTTATATTTTAAAATTTCGTAATTATCTTATAAGATTAATAAAATCCAACGATGGAACGTCTTAGAGTACAAATTAAATTCAAATCTACCCAGTAAAGAACTGTTCAACAATTTCCACCGTTTACCATTTCAGTATTCAGGAACGAAACATTTTAAAGCACTGTAAGATCACGTAATAATCTAAAAAGTTTGTGGACATACGAAAACAGATTGCATTTTATCAATAAGCAAGATTAGTGAAGCTGCAAAAATAACAATGTTAAACCTCTTCAGGGACGATTGCACAAACACGATAATAAGAATTATCCCGCTGTACAATAGAATCTCTCTCAATCAAATATGCTTTTTTAATAGCTCTTTATGAAGGACTGACTATTCTATAATGTAGAACTCAGGTTCTTATAATTAAATCTCTTCCAGATTCTCTGTGAAATTTTCGATCAAAGGAATTTTAATTAACCCTTCCAGTATAATCGCGCGGGAATTGTGCATTAAACTATTTCAATATTGCATTGTCTGTTATTTCATTAACGAATGATGGAATTTTATAATCTTTCCAGCAACGGAATTTATACAGAAAGAACACTATTCCATTTATTTCTTTGGTATACTCTAAATGAAATGAAGATTTTAAATAGAATTTAAAATTTAAAAATAGGTATTAAAACAAAATAAACATATAGTGTTTTAATTTTCTGAATATAAAGAAAATAACATATGGCTCTTATTAGTTTCAATCACATTGTTTTTTTTATAATAATATAACTTGCATTTTGTATATTATACTATTTTGTAGTAGTTTATAACACTGTTTAAGTTTCATTTGTTTGAAAGTATACATAAAACAATGGTCATGGACTTATGTAGAAATTATATACAATGACATAACCAGATTGGGACTAAAATTAAATATTTAAAAAAAATCTTTGTAATAAAAATAAATATTTGAAGCAAAATGCAGTACATAATATAATTAAAAATAAAAGATCCAATAATTTCCTCTTTATGTGAAATTATACATAAAAAGTATATTAAAATTTTGTGACACTAAACACTTGACAATATAAATAGTAAAATGACTGTACGTAGCTTAAATAAAAATTTCAGTTACGTCAATGATCATGATTTAATTCATTGTATCACATATGTATGTTAAACGAGATATCCAACTGTCATGAATGAAAAATATAAATACATATAAAAAAAGAAAACTAAAAAAAATATTCAATAATATTACATTGACGATGAATACTTCTATCAGACAAATGTACAGATTCTAAGTTCACAAGTGTACATATCCATACATGGCTTCACAGTCATCAAAGGGTCAAAGCTAAACATATTCCAATATAGAAAACAAATGCCAGGATTATGACACAACATTCAAGTGCAAAAGGTTAAAGTTGAGATTTTAGCAGGATATTTCTTCTCTTAGCAAAAGCACAAAGATTTTATCAGTGTATAAATTTTTTAAAATGTTTCCGATATTCCTTTTTTAACTAAACAAATAAATACCACAAAGTGACCTAAATATGATTTACAATCTTTTTATATTTTGATGCTACTCGATATTTTCAACTTCAATATATAACGTATCACATTGCATTACTTTAGTTTATGTAAAAAAATTATATAAAAATTGTCAATATAATTCCACTGTAATCTTTTTTCCAATATTTAAAATGTAAGTTTTGTTTGGAGATTTAACACGTTCGATACCAACGTCATACATGCGATACCTTTGATTTTCCATATGGAACCATAATGTTTCGTTTCACATTTTAAAATGGATAAAAATCTAAAGTAAAAAATAATAAAATATACGAGCGATGTGTATGGTCTGGAATTATATTCTTTTATTAAAAAAAAAATCGCTGTCCACAATGGACAAATTTACAATTGAGTGCCGTCGAACGCGTTAAATTTTTAGCAAAACACTTGTTAAAAAATTATAAAAAAGTATAAATTTATCAATTTAAAATCCGTAATAAAAATCCTTAACCCTGCTATCCCTCTTCAAATTTACTTGATGTCTCGTTTTAATATTTAATGCATTTAAATTTGACACTTATTATTTATTCAGTATTTTACATTTCTCAGATATAAAGTAAAAACTGTTATAAAATATAACGTGTTTCAAATATGACAGCCTCAATAAAGAGAACAACAGGGTTAAAAATAATATATACAGTTATAATACAATTTGAAATTAAAATTAAATAAAAATACTCAAACTGGGATCACTAATTTGATGTTTGATAGAATTTTTAAAGAAAATATAAAATTACAAGAGCCATTGATTCCATAAAATATACAGTCTAAATTAAATTCTATGTTCATGAATCACTACAACTTTGTTAAGCATATTTGAATCAGAAGTATACCCAAGTGTTATTGTCCCTGAAGAGGTTAAAGATCGCCGCAAGAAAACCGCAACAATTTTCATTCCGTTGATCTACCACCATGTGAAGGGTAGCTACCTTTCATTGAATCAAGGCACGTTTCCTGTGGTTCATGTTAAAGAATCGGAACTGTAGCCGCAGCGTTAGGTCTTTCCGTACTGTTGGGAAAGAATAGAGGTGTCGTAAGTATACGTTGCAGCTCTGACTCGTTGAGTATCTGTTCGGTGGCTGATAAAATCGAAGAATAAAAAATATTCCACAATGTCAGAGAAATCGAAACGAACTTTCATTTTTCTATTAACGAACCATTATGAAATGATCGTTTCGAAGTCTCCTTAACTATCTAAGGATAAACATAGAACGTTATTATCCTTTATAAGTTTACCATAATTGGCAAATATATGTGACGAGCATCTACGTAACAATAAATGGGCGAATAATTTGTAATATTTTACAATGGGAAATGATGACTGACACAGAAACTCCTCCTGGAAATACAATCGGAGACATGTGTACTCAGTTTTTGTACATCTTGTTAAAACATAGCATTCTATAATGAATAAATAATATTTACACTGTTTTATTTAGAGGTAATTAACTTTTCAATAGTTATACATTCTAAATATTTTAGGAAGAAACTGTTAGTTCCAGCAATAAATATTGCACATTTAAGTAAAATAATGTAAATATTATTTACCATTTCTTGGGTAGCAATTATACAATGCTAATTAACATAAATGTATTGAAGTTTGTTGGTGTACATGGTTACCCTTTATACTTTTGTCTAGTACTGTCTTGTTTAGCGTTGAAAAATGTGAAAGCGCAATGAAAGCAACATAAAATAAAATTGTGCAAAGGATGCATGATGTTAGTGGTAATGAATATAAATGATTGTGATGCAACTAGCACTAATTTTATAGAAATAATATTAATTATGTAATACTACTAATAATATGTATTAATAACTCGAATGTAGTAGTAGTTTATTTAATAGCAGCTTCCTCCGGTCAAAAATAATTTTATTATCAACTCTATACAATGTAACTGTGTACACCTTCTAACAAGTATAAAATCTTCAACAAAAATATATCCTTAACCCTTAACAATCATGTATAAAAAATATTACATATACTAATTTCTAATGCAACATAACATAATAAATTACTATTGCTTTATATTTGTTACAGTCTTCCAGATAGTAAAAAATAATAAATAATTTTTAAATTAAGACATATCCTTATTTAAATTTGACAGGATCAAATTTGATCTTACTATAACCATTAAGAATTAACTTTATGTAGTAATCGTTTTAAAAATAATTCAATATAACACATATTATATTAATTGGATCTAATATAAACAGCAAATAATTTTCTAGAGATTAATAATTAATGAGCTCTATAAGAATGTGATGATTACTACGATAAATACTAATTTTAGTGTAATTAATTACTACTGTTACTGCGAAACCTAGAAAATTAATAACAATAAATATGTATTTAATTAAAGCGCTCTATTAATGCAGAACTGCTATTAAATTTACTACCCTATTAGATGATACGAACATGATTATTGCATTACCTGTAATGCTAATAGGACTTCAATTTTGTAATATGAAGGATTAATAAAAGATTTGCATTCATTTACAAATTAAAGTAATTTCTAGACTGCTATCTACTTACAAATGGATAGGAATAGAACAAAAGACGAATAAAAGGGGAACTGTAAACAAACTCAAGGTAATATCTAGCTTTTAGAAAACCCTTCCTAAAAATATGAAGTTGATAGTGTATCAAACCTAACATAAAAAATATTAAAAAATAATAACAATCTTTTAAAGAAAACTGGGTAAATATAAATGTTATGAATTATATTTTCAGAACTACAAACACTTTATACAAAGTACATTGAAAAAAAAATTATTTCAATAATCTTTGTTAGGTTGGATATATTACAAACTTCAAATATTTAAGTAGGCTTTCTAATAGCTGTGTACTACCGAAATTATTTTACATTCGGCAGGACTCATTTTACCTGAACATTCATTAACACTGGAGAATATGACAAGAATTGTGCATGGACCAAATAAATCTGACAAATTCTCAAGACCGACTGGGACCATTTTAACAATAAATCTACTCACTGCGCTAATATGCGCTACGCTGTGTCTCTTAAGCCACCTACGGGGATAGTGAAACTTTTTGCAGGTGTACCACTCTCTATCTTAGCGCGTGCCACACGACAGACTAATAAAAAAGTAATACATTAATATCTTCTAAATACTAACTACTCTAAAAGGGACTTAATTTTCGATCCAATGCAGGCGTTTCATATACACAAAATTATGAATATGAAAATGATAAAACGAAAAGATAAAAAGCTTGCATCAGAGCGTATGAAAGAATAAGCTAAGTGTGAACATGCTGTAAGACGTTTGACCTAGAATAATTTATATGTTGAATAATTGTAAATTTGGAATAAGTGTCTTTGTATAAGTGTCACTGTAAAGTACTTTAGTGATACAAAAGCAATCGCAATTACTGTCATTGAATGCGATTTTAAGCAAGAATCAAATTGTATCTGCTTTTCGTTAAGTATCAATATTAAATAAGCCATAAGCAATAATGCCAATAAGAACGTGACTCGTACCGATTTAAAACTTAGGTACTTAAACCTGCAGATCTGTACTTAGCTGAAAATTTAAAACAGACCGATCATTTACACTAATTGATAGACTTTCTAGGTACAACATCTTCAATTATATGATACTGAATGAAACGTAAATCGTAACAGAAAGAAATGAGTCAGATTGCCACTGTTAGAATATAATACAAGGAAACTGGTGATTACAAATGGGGTGCACTCTAGAGTTTCATAATTACCTCTATGCCACTAGCTAGAAAAATAATAAATGAATTTAGCGGGATGAATGGATGAATGATGATGTGCTAATAAAGCGCTATGTAAGACTACGAAGCAGATTCGGAAGAGTTAGAAGCATTTCGTCATATGATCTCCATGGTCCCCCATACAATTGCTCCCATCTAAACGAGAAATGAACAGTTTAAATATCGCTACAATACAAATGTAACCGTTTATAATGTACCAACAGTGTTTGATTTAAACGCAACACATATCTCTGGATACATGTTACGAGCAATCTGTAAAGACTTATTCATTATAAAAATATTTGTGACATATATCTACGACACTTCAGGATCTGAAAATAAAAATACACCTGCAAAAGAAATATTAATCGACTAATATAAAAATTACGCATACCTCTGATGTAACTGTAAAGTTATATCAGAGATAAGACATAACTGGTAAACGTCAATTAAACGGTATATGATTGATAAATCTTAAGTACTACTGTGTATTTGTTATATATATAGGTATTATATGTACGTATTTGTGTGGAAAAGGAAATTTTTCCATTCATCGAGAATATGAACGTGTTTATGAAACGCGTCCAAAAACATGTTATTAGTATAACGTCTTTACTTACTCCTATCAATGTTGCGTTGCAGATGTGCAGCCACACGATGTCTAGCATCGTTAAATTCCAAATGAAGGCCAAGTCGTAGCAACGTTGGGTTTTCTTCTACCAATTGTGTGATTTCCATTTCAATTTTATTTCCCAATACCTGTGACCTCTATATATGAATTAGAAACATATGACGCATTAGTAAATATAAAAACGTGAATTCCAAATAAGAGAATTTTAACAATGTTTTACCTGATTCGAACATCGAAATTCTTCTATTGATTTCGTTTTAAGTAGTGCTCTAATGAGCCTCACTATCACAGATGGGCTTATAAAGTTTGTTTCCACACTAAACATTGAAATTTTAACATGTAGTATTATGTACCGAGATAAAAATACTATGAAATATTATACTCACTTGAGTACTCTGAGCGTAGAATTCTTCTCTAAGGCTTCTGCCAACCTTTGTGCAGTCTTATCGGTAAGTCCCACGTTCGTTAAACTTAATGATTCGAGATGTGTATTCATCTCCAGTCCTTCGAACAGCTGAACGAATTTTTCGTCGGATATGTTCTTAAAATATAACAAAATAACATTAAATGTTTCTTGGTGTTATAACTGTATATTAGTGAAAATATTGGTAAACGTTTCATATACCTACTTTAATGTTATTCCAATTTAAATCAGTCAATGAGACATCATCTTCTCGAACTTGTTTAATAGTAGCATCAACATCTGTATCGTTAGGTGGTTCCATTGGATAAGGTTTTGGTTGACTAGCTTTGGTAATTCCATCCCAACCCAAACCAACAGGCTGGCCAGAATTTAACAGAGAGGCATGATACTGGTCTTGATTCATCATGGAATGGAATCCAAGAATAGCTAACCAAAAGGATAAAGCAGTAAACATTATATTGAGAACCATAGTTATACGAATCTTTTATAGATGATAATTACCAGCAAGATCAATGATTTCTTCTTGAGTAGCATTTGATAATGCATGCTCATATTCATCTCCAAGATCAATAGCAATTTGTTCGTCTGCTTCTTTTTCTTTTACCGTTTCTTGAGGTGGTGGAACCCACTAAAATGAAACAGTAATAATGTATATGGATACTAGACATTTAGTCCATGTAATAAATGAAATTTATATTTATAAAACATACCTTCTTGCCTCTAATAACACCAGGAACATAGGGCTTTAATTCTGGTATATCTGGTGTCTCTAAAGCCTGTTTGTTGATGTGTTCAATTAGTTTCTTACGATTTAGCGGTCCTGTTGGACTCTTGTCACATTCGTAACTACAACGTTGTGATGGTGGCATAAAACTGTCCTACAAGAATATTACAAAATACATATGTACTAAGTGCTACTTGCTTATATCAACAAAATACAATAATAGCAAGTTTCTTACGTCGGGATCCACTTCCTTGGCTAACATATTAATTTCCTCTGGAGTCAGTTGTGCCAATAATTCATCCACATCAACATCATCGTATTCACTCAGATCTTTGCCATATAATTTAGCTGCAGTAGTCATGGTGGTTGTTTTGGTTGATGCAGAAGTCTGGAAAGGTTCCCATGGTTCTTGGTCAACTACAGAGTATCTTCGTGACATTTTGTTAGTCAAACTGTTAGATAAATTAACCAATACTGGAACTAAGATACTAATCAATTTTCTCTATCAAGATTAGACTATGTTAATTTTCTAACAAATTTGAATAACAAAAAAAAGCACTATATATTCTACACGTTAAAAAAACTATTCTGATTTTTGCTGATTTCTTATAAACGATCAATGTCACTCTCCTTAAATTCAAACAAACGAATACAAATGAAATTCGTTTGAGCAGTCAAAACAAATGAAATGAATGATACGTAATGACGATCATAAACTGAAACAAGTATAATGAATCGTATTTTTTCAAGCGCAAAATCAATGGTGTGGCATTTCGTCACGCATCACGTTCATCACTACGGCTCGAAGCAAATGTAGACAGTGTTCCTAATCGAATGTTCAGCAAATCGACAAGTTGTATTTAAATTCGGCAAGTGTCCAATGCGGCTGATGCCCTTTGCCCCACATAATTCGGGATCGATTTTCATTGACAACTCATCTGCCAAATCGGCAACCCACGCTGAACAGAAAATTGCAAAGACCCACAAAATATAAACGTCTAACTGGAAACTTACTCGTGACAAACTGTCTACGTCAATGAGACAAACTGATAACAATTTCTGAATGAGAAATTTAGGTGAACCGCTCGTAATCAAATACCTCACCCACTTCTCACGACAGACGCACACTTTACTGACCAGTTCACCGATTGCGGCTGATTGCGGCAGCGCCCTTTGACGCTTATACCATATTCGAACAAAGAATGAATCAAATTGGAGGTTGAGATAACCAATCATCAATTTTTAAATGGATTTAGTGATATCTATTTAATATAGGATAGGTTTTATGATATTCATTTATTTAATTAGTATTAGTTACAATTTGTAGTAAAGACGAAGTTTTCATTCAAACATCATTGGGACAGTTTGACATCAACCTTGTGCGGTGTTAGATTGAATGAAGTATATGCGCCCATGGAGAAAGTTTCTGCGCGTCTAGCGTCGCGCAGGTATTGACGTTGATGTAGTACCCATGGCGGTTATTTCAAAATACTTCCATGTATGTACGAGGTTGTCAAGTTGCAGAAAGTTGAATACTACGTCTTTTCTGTATTTACTTAAACTCTGTTACATTGGAAAATATTGACTAACACAAAGTTCTTTCATAATTTCATAATATAACCGTAAGTGCAGTTTACTTCTAATTAGTATTAGGATTGCCATTATAACAATAACGATGTTAGTTTATGAATTATGATATAGGGTGAAGCAGTATTAAAACTGTAACAGGAAGTATCCAAATTTTTAAACATATTTTCAATATTCGCAAGTATTAAAATTTCCATACACTCCAAACTTTTCGAATACAAAAATTCCTATATTTTCTTAAATTTCTAAACTACTAAATTTTCAAATTTCTGAAAGTTATATTTTCAAATTCCAAATTTTCTGAATTCTTATATTACTAAACTTAAATTTCCTATATTGACAAATTTTTTAAAGTCTAAGTTACAAATTTTCAAACATTCAATTATCCAAATTCCTAAATTTCAGGATTTCTACATCTGAAATTTTTTAATTTAAAAGTTTTTTAAAACTAAAATTTTCAAATTTTACATCTCTCAAGTTGCAAGTTCTCAATTTTTTCAGATCCTCAAATTCCTACATTTTTTAATTCTTACAATTTTCCAAATTCCCCAAATTTTGTAAACTCTTCTAATTTCCCAATTTTCGAAGTCATCAAATTATTAAATTCTTCTACCCATAAATCTTTAAATTCTTAAATATTTAAATTTCCAAATCCGTAAATTTCGTAAAAATTTCATATTTAAAAATTTTCAGTCCTTATATTTTCGAATTCCAAACTGTTGAAATACTTAACTTTCAAACCTTCTAAATTAAAAAATGTTTAACATTTTAACATTTTAAATCCTTCCTTTTCTTAAATGTTTAAATTACTTAATTTTTGAAATTGAAAAATTACAAATTTTGAAATTTTCAAATTCTTGAAATTTTAAGTTCAAAAATTTGAAAATTTATCTATACCTAAATTTGCAAAGATTCGGAACTAATGGCAATACAAATGATCTAATAATCAAGCATTAATTTGATATTGATTAAAAAATCAATATCAATAAATGATATCAAATACTCAAAATTTCATTATGTCTCAATATTATGACCAACTGTTTTCGATTTAGAATTGAACAGCATCAATAATATCGATACCGATCAAATATGCGAATATAATATATGAAATACGCCAACCACTAGCCAACGACGTTATTATTTCTGACACTATTTATATCAGAATGATTAATAAGGATTTGACAATCGTATTACAGTTAGAGCTCGACATCGCGCTATTCAATCTTAGCCAAAACATGTTTCATATAACAGAAAACAATTTTGAGAAAGAGACAAAATGCACGCAGAACTTCCGTCAGTTTTGCTCGAGATAATTAACTTGATAAATCAATTCTGACCAAGGTCGCGGAAGGACCGGCAATCGGCATAAGCGGAAAGAGTGGGGAAAATTTGTGCGTCCGGTGGGAGTTATGTTCGAGATACAGCATTGCGCAGGTCCGATGATGTTCGCGGTCAGAAAAGACAGAGCGGACATCTCTGTCGTTCTTCGGTCGTGCAGTTTTGATTAGAGAGCGTCTATCACGCGTTTGTAGCGCTTGTAGCGGCGAAAGCCTCAAAAATAGCTGAAGCCTCCTCGCAGGCTGGCATACTCCCAACGGTCTATACTTGGACATCCCCGCGCCATGATTATTTATAGTGAGCGCGAGCGCGGCCACTGGCCTTCTCGCGAACTAACTAGCCGCCTCTAAAGACGATCCGTCGCCCGTGACCTAGGCCCGCATTAATAACGATTATACCTCTCCGCTCAAGAATACGGGAACTTAATCTCTCAATGTTGTTGCTTCTATCTCCTATAGGGGTCCTTTGTTTCATTACATGACCCCAAAATGAATACACGACAAAAAAATTCGGAAAGTTTTAATGAAGAGATGATGGAGGCCAGATGTCGTTTTTGAAAGTTCACCCATTTCGCGCGCATTGCGAATTCGTCACGCGGTTTTTCATATTAACTACAGTTGTACAAATTTGAATAGTTCGGTTAATCCGAATATTTGATTATAATACTTTTCTACGTAGGTATTTGACGAATCTTATTACTCGCTTTTGCTTTCAATAGACTGCAAAGGAGGTAAAAATGAACGTGGAGAGTGATACATAATGTTATAATAAAACTGACTGCTCAACTTTTTTATTTTTAGCTCTTATTGCATGCATTTTTATTAACGTTAAGCATTTTTATTGGTGAAATTTTAAAGTGCGATAAAAGATTACTTGAATCTTTATAAATATATTTTTTATTTTATTCTTGATTCATTTTATTTTGGGGAGAAATGCAAATAAAGTCAAATTGTACTTAATTTTATATGGACGAATCAACACCGAGCCACGAGATGCAAGAAACACGGCATTCCGATATTCGAATTTTACTTATAGACCTATTTTTAATCGGTGCATACTGTTGCAAATATGCAACGTAAAATAACACTATGCCTACCGGCGTATAATCCAGTTACTTCAAAATTAAAAATGAAGTTGAAAAATAAATAAACAAATGATAAAACATAAATTAATATACACTTTAATTCTTATGAAGATCAATACAGATTTCTAAGAAATTACCTTAACAAATTTTGTAACATAAAATAAATAACTTGTAAAACAGTTATTTAACCGCTTTAGTAGTTTTAGTGATAATATATACTATGAAATTCTTGTATTTTGTCAAAGATAAATAAATGACAGTTTGTTTTTTTGTAATTACAATATTTTGTGATGAATTTTCAAAATGTTGCAATTTTTTGCAATTATCGTTTATTTATCCTTGCGTTTTTTTTTTTGTACTGGCGTGCTAAACATATTCATTAATTTCAGTTCATATTTTATATTCTGTTAATTCTTGAAATATATTATATGTAACATTATATTAAAAATTATGTTAATATTTAGTACATGTTATAAGTAAATTTGGTTTCATGGATATTTTTATAGCATTAATATTATAGAGTTTAAAAATTATTACTAGTATATATAGTTATAATATTTTTAAGAAATACAACCTTCTGAAACCAGAATTTGATTATAAATTTTTGAATGAGGTTTTGCTAAAAATTTGTAAAAAGTTACTTTTAAAAACAGTATTTTCAGTCATCAATATAATTTCAATTATATAAATATCTGCTAATAGTTATTAATATAAATTTAAGAAGAAATGTAATGTAACTAGTACCTCGTTTTATTAGTGTAATCAAATAATGATGTTATGAAATAGAAAATATTTTATAAAAAACAAGGAAATCAGAAATCCTTGACAAACGCATCTCAGTGCTATTTTCTAAACGTTTTTGCAGATAATAACTTAAGAATTGTGCAACTCTGACGATGATGGATATACCACATTCTTTTCATGAACATGATGCAACAGAAAACAAACATTCTATTAAACACACTTTCTTCTTTCAATGCAAATATTACCCATTACTCCGTGATCAGGTAATATAAAAACAATGCAGTCAAGAATATCAATTATGTCATTGATTATTGCAGCACAAACAGCTATGAGTAATGCAATATTAATCATTAAACATACTAAGCTTGCTATCTGGTTTATTTTCTGATATAAAAGAATGTTCAACTGACATCGATGTTATTAATTTTTTAGCACGTGCTGTTTAATTATTTTTAAAAGAAAGATAAGTTTTTGTATTAAATTATGTTACCCCAATTTATATTTCAATATCGTAAACGAATTTTTACATAATTGCGCTGCAGTGCGCAATTATCTTCATTGCACACAATTAGGACAGTGAAAAAGAAAATGTATGGCCATAACAGATTTACTAATTTACATTTTATAAATTCATC